GACCATATCCATTTATTATCCCATAGTTCTGTAGGTCAGAAGACCAGGCAGGCTTGTCTGGGTTCTCTGCTTGGGGTCACTGGGCATCATAGAATTCTGCCTATCACAGCTGCCTCCCTGTCTGGGCTAACAGTGGCACATCCAACAGAAATGAGACTCAGTAAGGGGTTGTGTGCACTCAAGTTTAAGGGGACGTATGGAATTCCTAGAGACAGAGGAAGGGAGAAGCTAGCAAAAAAGGAGACAATCAGGATATAAAGAGCACAAACTGACAATAAGAAAGTGCTCCCAAAAGTTTATGGGCAAGGATATTTCATATACCTTCTAGGGTATCCACCATTTTATAAACAACAGGCTAAATGCACCCTCTATGATACCTCTAACATGAGTAAAATACTAGACTATTGCAGTAATGTATTAATGGAATAAAGTATCTGAAAAAACTAATTACTATAAAGTGCTAACCAAACCTAAAGTTATTGCTATTATTTCATATTATATTAATATTTTCAATATATAAAAGAATAGCTAACAGTTCTTGTATGTTTATTACATGTCAGGTCCCGTGCCTTCACATTGCTTATGTCTCTCAGCAATCCTGTCAGGTGAGTAGTATTGTTATTCCCATTTTACAGGTGAGGAAACTGATTAAAAGAAAAATTTAGGGACTTACCCGGAAATCATGCAGTCAGGAAGATAGAACCAAGATTCAAATGCAGGGCTGTCTACTGCCAGTCATTCATAAGCATTATATTAATCTATGGATGTTAAAGAGTCAGAGAAAGTTACAATCAGAAAGAAAGGGCCAGACCTGAAGACAGACAGATGGGGAGAACAAACATGGCCCTACCTCTGGAGTTACTGAGTTGGGCTCACTAGCTAAGGTAAACTGCTCTGGTGACAAATTGCTTTTTACAGCTTTTAAGGAGAATGTCTGGAATTCTCTGTTTCATATTCTCTGTCTTCATAATCTTGGAAATAAAAATTAGTTCTTGAGGATTTGCTTGTTATTTATGACTGCGCCTTTTTTTTTTTTTTCCTGGCCAAATTGTCAGGGGTAACTTCTGTAGCTGGGGCTAAGATGGGTAATTATTGTACTGATTAAATTGCTATGGACAGAACAAAATGACCTTATTAGAATCAACCCCAAACCTAGCCATGAGGAAACGTTCCGTAGTTCCATAAAAAGCAAGATCATGGGGTTGTGGAGGGGTGGTTACACTATGAAAGCAATCTGATGCAGGGAAAACTGGAGAGGAACAAGGAAACAGCAAGTGACAAATGGGGATGGAGAGCAAGGGGAAATGGTGGACTGGAAAATAAACACTATTGGAAATGTGGCTATCTGTTTGGGGGAAAATTATGGATCCTTGTATCACAGCATGATTTTAAATGTCACTCTGTACATAACTAGATCTGTCTTGTCCCTATTTATTGTTTGATTTACCTATTTGTATCAATATCACACTGTAAGGTTTAAGAATTTTAAATGTCACTCTGTACATAACTAGATCTGTCTTGTCCCTATTATATTTATTGTTTGATTTACCTATTTGTATCAATATCACACTGTAAGATATAAGAATGGGTTCTGATATCTTATAGGGTAAGTCCTCCCTTACTGCTGTTTTTAAAAATATATTGGTTCCAAAGTAATCTTGAGAACAAAGCTGGAAGCATCATGCTCCCTGATTTCAAACTATATTACAAATCTATAGTAATTAAAATAGTGTGGTATTGGCATAAAAACAGACATGCTGATCAAGAGAACAGAATGGAAAGCTCAGAAATAAACCTGTATTAGATACTTCCTCTTATATATATATATATATTATATTATGTACTATATATAATTATATATATTATATATTTTTTATACTTTTAAACTGTGAAACCCATTAATTACTATCATCTCAATTTGAAGATGAGGAGAGTAGTTTCAACCAGAGTGAGTGACTTTCACAAGGATCCACTTCTGGCAGAAGGTACGTGTCTAGGGCTTGGACTCCAGCTCAGAGGCTGTCTTTGGGTTTATTTGATATTTACTTGACATTTGTTTAGTACTCAGTATGTACCAGGCTCTGTTCAACATGATGAATATAGCAGTGAACAAAATAGACACAAATTTCTGTCCTCATAGAATTTATATTCTATTATATTGGCAGGATCCTGGGTTTATTTCATTAGTATCCTAAGATATTTAGTAATACATACCCATCATAACACTCCATTCAGAGAGATGCTTAATTCTGAGCAGCATCCTGATTATACTTTCCTTGGGGACCTGACTTCAACCATTAACAGAAGCCCAGGAGAATTCCGAGCCCAGACTTCCTGTTACTTTGCATATTTTGACAGGAAGAGCTGGAAGTCTGCATTTGTGATTTGGGTTTTATTTCCATGATGACTCCCAAGCGATGACAGCTAACTGTGCATTCCCAATGGGAGTACCTCCGCTTCTGTTCTGCTTTTTTGGGGGCTTGAGCAGCACGAGGCCAGAACCAGGCAATAATGTAGCTGGCACAGGTTGGACACTCCTGAAACACTGGATCCAAATTCTACGTATATGTGCGAATTCCAAGAATCCTTTCATTCAGTAAACTCCACAGCCCCCTACACTTCCTGTAACTTCTGTCACACGTTACTTACACGCTGCTAGCTGAATGTCTAACATGCTACTGTGAGTATGGTAAAATTTCTATGAAAACGAACTTTTTACTTTCAAAATATTTTAACAGGCAGTGAGTAGAAAGTGCTACCATAACTGTTGAAGCTCCTGGACATAATGAGCGAGAGGAAAATTTCTTGGCATCCACAGAACTATGAATATCTGGGCTATAAAGCACATTGATACAGGCACGCTTAAGTCTCAAAGATGGAAATCTTGGAGCAGCCTGCCACCTTCAGGATAACTTTCCAACTAACTCTACCAGAGAAAACTGGCTTTAGCCTCTATGAATTTCAAAGACCAATCCCAGTAAAAACACGTTTCATGATAATCAATGGTGGAAGCTATGTTCCTTGCAGTACTTTGGCTAGGATTAAGTGTTATATTTAATAATTACATCAGTTTTCTTTAAATAAAATTTCCCCTTTCTTTGATTCTTTTTAAAAAAATTATTTTTATTCAATTATCTTTACATCAATTCTTTCCTTGCTTTTCACTGGTTAAAAACAACCAACCAACTTAATTTTCCTCAGGAGAGCTGAGAACACTAAAAACGGATCTTACAGCCACAGTCTGTGGAAAATATGGTAACTTTGGAAACGCTACTTCCTCGTGAGTCCTTTTTATGGATTAATGACATTTCTAAAGAATCATAAATAGAAGGAACAACACAGTAATCTGCTTAGAAATGGGGAGCCGGAGCAGGCAGAGAGAGAGAGAGAAAATGTGTGACACTGGTGTTTTTTTTTAATATCTTACTGGCTATTCCTTTCATTAAGTTACAGAGAAGTCTCCCTGACTTAAAAAGAGTGAGAAAGGCAGGACGAATGAAAAATAGGCTAGGGAATGACACAGTGACTCAGAACTTAATAGTATACAGAAATAACACAAATTGGTATCAAAAATAAACAGAAGAGAAAGGACAACACGACTAAAACCGATACTGATGTAGGAAAGAACGTCAGGGTTTGGAGCCGAGGGCCAAGAAAGAATTCTTGAGATGTCTTTGGTGCAAAAGGTGATTTTATGAAAGCCCGGGGACAGGACCTGTGGGCAGAAAAAGCTGCTGCACCGGGGTCATGGCTGATTATATATTTTCAAGTTGGGAGGGGGTTAGGGATAGCGTAAGTCTCTAAGGAATTTTGCAAGCAAGGTTTCCAGGACCTTGAGGGGGCTAGATACTGTTGGGAAAAGGTCATTCATTACCTCTAATAAAGCCTTAGTCATGAGACCCTTCAGATGTATATCGGTGGGCCATACGCTTGCGGGCTGATTGCCAACATGCATCTTGGGGGGTTTAGAGATAAAGGAAATTTCCAAAGGAACTTTTATATGTTAAAGTACACTTACAGGATCCTGGTGGTGGGGGGAGGGGTTCGGGCTAGGACTGCCTTTTGCCCTTGGCAAAGTATTAACTTGGAGGCAGTGGAGTCCCTAGAGGAATGTCACTCTGCCTGTTTCAAGGACTTGTCAGTGGGCTCTAGGTAGTAAGGAAATTTAATAATTTTTCTTCTGCCTTTGTTTCCCACATCAATACAATCAAGTCAAATTGCCTTAGGAGAGCAGAATGTAAAAGATCTAGGAAAAAGAGAACAAGGTAGTCCAGAAAGCCATCAGGCAAGGGCACAGGAACATAAAGGGCATTTAAATAGAAAAGAGTGAGAACAGATACTCATCGCGAAAGAATACACTTTCGTTTTTTGGAGATTTATTTCTTTAAGTCATCTCTGCACCCAACCTGAGGCTCGAACCCTCAACCCTGAGATCAAGAGACCCACGCTGCACCCTGGGAGCCAGCCAGCGCCCCCAAAGAATACACTTTCATTATTTTCCTCTCAGGAAACAGGAAAGGGCGATTTTAGGACCTTCCCTTATCCTGGTGCACTTAGTTCCATTTTTATTGGCTTTTCTTTGGCTACATTGACCTATGAAAGGATGTCAAGGTCAGTTTCCTCACGACTTTGATTCTCTACTCAGCCGGCAACTTCAGGATCACGTGGAAAGCTTGAACCAACGGCGGTGCTCACTCCGGAGGAATTCAATCCCAAACTCTGCGGTGAAGCCTGACCTGGCACTGTTTTAAAGCTTCCCGCCGGCGTGCGCGACTCTGCAGGGGTGAGAACCACCGCGGGTCGGAGCCTAAGCCCCGCCTCCTCTCGCGGGAAGCAACCAAAGTTGGGCGCAAACCTCGCGCCCACAAGGGAGGCGCTCCCTATGACACACTCAGGGCGGAGACGCGGCGTGCGCCCTCCCGACCGCTAGGGGGCGAGCCGCGCGCATTTAGCGCACATTTTCCGGCGTGTAGCCGGGTCGACTTCACGGTGCGCATGCTCGATGCGTCCCGGAGGTCGCCAGCGCCGGTGTTTTCCCACGTGCAGCGTGAAGCAGAGGACGTCATGTTGTAAGGAGATGGGGGCCTCGGTGTCTCGCGCAATCAGGAATTTCAACCTAGAGAACCGGGCGGAACGGGAAATCAGCAAGATGAAGCCCTCTCCCGCTCCCAGGCACCCCTCCACCAAAAACCTCCTGCGAGAGCAGATGAGCTGTAAGTGGTGCAAGGGCACGTCGGAACTCCGCGCACGGGCTCCCGGGGCGGGCTGGGCGGTTCCGCGCCGGGGGGTCTTGGTCCCGTGGCAGGGGTGACCGGGGTCGGCGGCAATGACTCGTCAGCCGAGCGCGGCAAGGTGGAGCCCCCAGGCCGTGACATTGAGAGAGTCCCAGTGCGCCTGCGGTGGAGTGACGGCTCAGCCCACTTGATAGTTCCGGAGACGGCGACCGCTGCCCCAACTGCCCCGGCCCTTCGAGGCTCTTATCTTTACTGTCTGCCACCGACTTGCTGCAGGGAATCCCAAAATGGAAGGCATCATGTTCTTCGGAAGTGCACTATGGGTGTCTTCACAGAACGATGGACGCCGAGCCCGACCTAGCGTTTTGATTTACATGTACAATACTTCCCGTATTGTCCGAGTGATTGTTTATTAAACAAAAAATTAAAAGTGGCTGTCTTGCGTTGTGTTAGGATCTTAGAGGAAATTTTCTTTGGTTTTAATATTGTGACATTCTTCTTTTCATAGGCCATCCAGAAATTAAGGGAGAAATTGCTAGAAAAGATGACAAACTGCTGTCGTTACTAAAAGATGTGTATGTTGATTCCAAAGATCCGGTGTCTTCTGTGCAGGTAGTGTGTGTTTTAATTTAGATAAGTAATTTAACTTTTTTGTGCTCCAGGAAAACGATTAAGTGTGGTAGGTAGTAAAAGAGAGTGAATGCTCTGCACGTTTAAAACTGTCAGTGTAGTTGTGACCAGATTACAGTGCATTGGCAAAACTTAAGCATAGTGGTGATATTATTTCACAATTTATAGGATTTGGTAAAGTACTTCTAGTGGTTGTCATTTGACTCACCAAAGGAAGGCTTTAATACTATTTTCTTACCCTTCAGTGTTTTGTTCTAATCTGAGGGATTCCTTTAGTGTTGTGTTGTTGGTGTTTGTTTTTTTGTTTTTGTTTTTTAAAGATATATTCAGTTAGGAAATGTAAAAATTGGGAGATGACGGAATACACTGGGAATCGGAACCTATATGTAAATCTGTATATAAACACCACACACAAGTGCTTTGTATATAGTTATGAACAAAGGAGACCTACTCTTTGCTCTCAGTGCTTAGAATATTGTGAGGGACACAGAGATTAAACAGATGAGCAACCATAAGTACATAATTACTGATACGTCTGTGAAGGGCAAGTATAGGCACTGTGAGTATATTAGAGGGACCTGTTTGTGATTGGATGGGGTGGCTTCTGAGAAAGTGACATTTAAGCCCCAGCCTGAAGGATGAGTCAGAGTTAACTAGATGAGTTTGTTGGGGCAGGCAGGTTCTAAGTAGGGGGAAGAATTTGATTAAAGGAGAGAGAAGTGTCAGTGACAACTCCCAGATTTCTTTCCATTCTAAAGTTCTTTGGTACTCTATCTACATAGGCAATACTGTTTGCACAGATAGAGTTATTAATATAATTTTCATTAGATAAGTGAAATAAAGTTCATGTAAAATGAGGTTTGTGAGTTGTTGCGTATAATAGCAATTATAGGGTTCATTTATCACCAGATGTTCCCATAAAAAAGAAATGTTGATGTTCATGTTCTTTGTGTTGAGAATACTTCCATCAATAACAGGTGTTGAATAATACTTCCAACTGTTGTTTCTCATGCTATACTAAATCATGCATTCAAAAATTGGCCCTTGGGGAGTGAAAAAAATTTAACAGTTTTTACAAATAATACAATACATAGAGAGATACACATTGGTATTAAAATTTTATGGGGGGTATTAGGAAAAGTCTAAAAAGACGCAGGGGCGGGGACCGACAATGAAGAAGTTGAAGTACCTGTTTATGTTTTGTCCCCTTTTCTCTTTTGGGTAGTTCCTAGTTTTCTTAATGATTTGTGATGTCTCTAGACATTAGTGGTATCATGTCAAATAATTTATTTTTGCGTGGCTTTTTAACTTAATGCTGTTCAGAATTCCGTCAAATATGTTGGCCTTTTTGTTCTTGATGGTATTGGAAGTCTGGACTCAACTCTAACATGAAAACGGTTTTCTGTATTTTCTTTCAGTACTTTTATGACTGTATATTTTATATTAAAGTCTTTATTTGGCAATAAATGTAGTGTTTGGTGTGTGGAGATCTTTTCTCCTAGATGGTCAGTTGTCTAAATACAATTTATTGAATAACCCAGTCTTTTCTCCACTCACTTAAAATGCTAATACATACAAGTCTGTTTATGGATTCATCAGTTCTAGTTATTTTTCTCTTTTAACACTAGGATCATATTATGTTAATTAATGGAGCTTTGTAATGTGTCATGATATCTTTTTCCCCAAAAGTTTCATGGCTCTTGTCATACTTTTTTTTTTCCCTGCAGATGAACTTGAGAATCACATTGTCAGGTTCTTTAATTAGTTAATTAAAAAGATTTATTTATTTGAGGGGTGCCTGGTTGGCTCAGTCGTTAAGCGTCTGCCTTCGGCTCAGGTCATGATCCCAGGGTCCTGGGATCGAGCCCCGCATCTGGCTCCCTGCTCAGCGGGAGGCCTGCTTCTCCCTCTCCTTCTGCTTGTGTTCCCTCTCTCGCTGTGTCTTTCTCTGTCAAATAAGTAAATAAAATCTTAAAAAGAAAAAAATCTTTAAAAAAAAGATATTGAGAGCACGCATGCGTGTGCTTAAGCGCAGGGCGGCGGGGGGGGGTTGCTGTGTGGGGGAGCTTGGGGGTGGCATTTCTCAATCAGACTACCCCCTGAGTGCAGAGCTCTATGCAAGGCTCATCTCACAACCCTGAGATCATCACCTGAGCCGAAATCAAGAGTCAGATGCTTAACTGACTGAGCCACCCAGGCGCCCCTCAAATTGTCCTGTTCTTTAATAAGTCTGATTTGGATTCTGAGTGTAATTGGAATGTATAGATTAATTTGAGAATTAGCATCTTTGTATTACTGAATCTTTGGGGGATAGAGGGAAAGCTGTTACTGTGGGATCTTTTTTCACCCTGAGTTTTTAAACTATTAATTGCCAGTATGTCAAAAAGTGAGTGATTTTTGTATTGCAGCTACCCACATTGCGAAGTTATTATTGGTTTTACAGTTGATTCTGTAATTTTTCTGAAGATATTCTCTATCATCAGCATAGAATTACAATTTTCCTTTCTAATATTTATACTACTTTTATTGTTTGTAGCATTAACGTAGCAGTGAAAGTTGGTATTCTGTCCTGTTCTTCCTTTACATAGGGTGCCTCTGGTGTTTCAGCATTAATTATAATAAAATGATAAGGTTTCTGATTAAAAAATACTTCTATCACATTTGAGACTTTTATTTTTAATTTACTAAGAGTCTTTTAATCAAGAGAGGATGTTGAATTTTATCAAGTTTTTCGAAGTGTCATAATTTCAGTATTTAATATTAATCAGAAGGGAAATTTGAATTAAAGTAGATATGGAGTAGGAGAAGGATTACCTGGGAATGTAAAGTTAAGAGAAGCTTTGAGTTTTGGAAAGTGAAGAAGTTGGGAAGAGTGTTTCAAATCAAAGTTAACAGTGTAAAGGTAGGAGTGTGTGATGCCTTTAAGAACAGTTAAGAGTTCATTACAGTCAGGGGAAAGTGTGAGCAATACATTTGGGAGAAATGGGATAGGATGGAGGTAATAGGGACCCAATCATGAAAGTCCTTATTTCTTGTGCTAAGGAATTTGCATTTTATCTTGAGGACAGTGGGAAGTCTTTGAAGAGTGTCACGTCAGATTGGCTTCAGAATGGGCTGGGAGGGAACAAAATGCATTTCATGCAGTCACAGGACACCATTTGGGAGGCTTTTGTAGCCCTTCCCACAAGATTCATTGGCTTGGACTAGGGTGATGTCATGACGGGGAGAGAAGTGAATGTGGGTTCAAGAGGGACTTAGAAGTCACTATCAAGGGGCACCTTAACCTCAGTTGGTTAAGCGTCTGCTTTCGGGTCAGGTCATGATCCCAGGGTCCTGGGATCGGGTCCCTCATTGGGCTCCCTGCTCAGCGGGGAGCCTGCTTCTGCCTGCAGCTCCCCCTGCTTGTGCTTGCTCTCTCTCTGTGTCAAATAAATAAATAAAATCTAAAAAAAAAAAAAGAAGAAGTAGTCATATCAACAGGATTTGGTCCTTGATTGTGAGGGAGAGGGAGATGTCAAGTATAACAGAAGCTTTAAGTTTTGGAATGGGATATGGAGGGAAGTGATACTGGTCACGGGAGATGGAGAATATGGGGATAGAATTGGATTTTCAGATGAAAGGGTTAAGTTCAGTTTTATGTTGATTTTGAGGTGATTGTAGATTTAAAAAATTTTTTTAAATATTTTTTAAACTTTTTTATTGAGAGAGAGAGCGCGCATATGCACATGTGTGAGCCGGGGGCGGGGGGCGGAGAGTGAGAGAGAGAGAATCCTCAAGCAGACTCCCTGCTGAGTGCAGAGCCCAGTGTGTGGGGCTGGATCTCACAACCATGAGATCCCAGCCTGAGCCGAAATGAAGAGTTGGATGCTCAACCAACTGAGCCACCCAGGTGCCCCATTGAGGTGCTTGTAGAGATTATCCAAGTAAAGATGCCCATTAGACATTTGGGAATTTAGATCTGTAAGTAAGAAGAAAGGTCTAGGTTTGAGATCACTTTTGAAAGTTATTAACATAGGTAGTAATGAAGCCCAAGGGGTATGTGGGATTACTTCAGTAGAATGTAAACAGTAAAAAGAGGGCCTGGGCCGGAATTTGGAGCACGCTGACCTTCAGGGGGCAGCTGAAGGAAAACAGTCTACAAGAAGAAAGAAGGAACCACTGGAGAGACAGATGGAAACCTAGGAGAAGGAGTGTCATGGAAACCAAAGGGAGAGATGATTATGGGTGTGTTGGAGTGGTCAACAGCATCAGATACTGTTGTGAGTTCATATAAAGCCTAAAAATTGTCCTCTGCATTGAGATCTAATCCTGGATTGGAGATCACAAATATCAATTATCTTGAAGGCTCAACTGAGAAGGAAACTGGCCTTATCATAAAAGAAGTGTTGGTTCAGGTTTGGTGGGCATTTTTTTTTTTTTAAGATTTTATTTATTTGACAGAGAGAGACACAGTGAGAGAGGGAACACAAGCAGGGGGAGTGGGAGAGGGAGAAGCAGACTTCCTGCGGAGCAGGGAGCCCGATGCGGGGCTGGATCCCAGGACCCTGGGATCATGAATCAAATGTATATCAAATATATATTTTTATATTTTGACCAAATAGCAGCAGTAGGCAGGGTGCAGTTGAAAGAAAAAGGAAAAAGGAATGATTGGCATGGCCAAGTAATGAACAACACACAGAGCACAATGCAAGGATTGCACTTGGTTGGGACAGACAGATGGAAAGATGGGTATGCATTTGTTGTTTCGGGTCTGTTGGGTATTGGAAGCACAAGTTTATTTTCTCTCAAGGCAGGATCTCTAGCAATATTTGAATTCATTTAAGGTGTTTGGAGGCATTGAATATGAAATACAAAACTAGGAAAGGGAGTGGAGATTTTCGAGTAAGATCTTAGGGCATCAGAATTCTGCCCTTGTAAAGCAGTTTTAATCTAATCCATTCATTTTTGTTTTTTTTTTTAAGATTTTATTTATTTATTTGATAGAGAGAGGGAGAGCACAAGCAGATGGAGTGGCAAGCAGAGGGAGAGGGAGAAGCAGGCTCCCCGCTGAGGAAGGAGCCCGACACGGGGCTCGATCCCAGGACCCTGGGATCATGACCTGAGCCGAAGGCAGCCGCTTAACTGACTGAGCCACCCAGGCGCCCCTTTGTTGTTCTTTAATATACATGAAATAATGCGATGAGTGGATGGTATACATTCAGTTGTTATTTTCTAGAACTACCTAAATTTCTTAATGGTGTTTGAGCTATAGTTATGTTATGGCAGTGGGGCAAAAGTACCATCAAACTATGTGTCATTGTAATGAGAAAATGTAGTTTGGAGAAGCATGTGTAGTATTTATTTGAAGTAGTGGGGATTTGAGAAGCGTGGAAGGAGATGTCAAATCTTTTCTCTCTCTTGTCTTGAAAGACTTTTGTTTTTGTTTTTGATACTAGGTAAAAGATGGTGGAACACGTCAAAAGCCAAAGGAGTTCAGATTGGCAAAAGGCCGTGAGTTTAACATGATAAGTATCAAGAACATTCCCAAAGGCAAAATTTCCATTGTAGAGGCATTGACACTTCTCAATAATCATAAACTTTATCCGGAAACATGGACTGCTGAGAAAATAGCAGAAGAGTACTATCTAGAACAGAAAGATGTAAAATCCCTTCTCAAATATTTTGTTACTTTTGAAGTCGGAATCTTCCCTCCTGAAGACAAGAAAGCGATACCATCAAAATGAAGAAAATTTTGAAATTACTTTTCCTATATGTAGTCCCCGTTCCCATGCCCTGTTTAGTTTCTTATTTTCAGCATGTGAAATTATACAAATTAATGAATGTTTAAAGCTCCCTTCTTGGGAGAGCGTACTATTTATTGAGCTTTGCTGAATTTTCAGGATTGCTGATAGAATGAATTTTGTTTCTTTGTGAAGTTTAATTTGGTTTAGGTATATGTTCATATGTAATATCAGCAAGCCTAATCAGCATATATATAAATTTATGATAAAAAACTTAAAGTGTAATTTTAGGCAAATCATATCATCAGCTTTTAGACTGGTCGGTCATATGGCCTCTTGGGAAATGTCCTGAATCTTTCATTTAACATTGAAAGTTTCGCCGTCCAATTTAGGTGGTTAATTTATTCTTCCTATGGAATTGTGAAAGTAAGAGTTTTCCTAACTCTTAGGACTGTGATCTTTTCTTGTTAGGGAAAGGGAAACTTGACAGCGAGGTAGGATAACAGTATTTCCCAAATGAAAGCAGGCAGGAAAGTGGATACAAAATCAATAGAAAGTTCATTTTATTATTACAGGGAATAAGAGCGAGGACTTCTTGTTTTGAACTGTTTTATTTAAGTATGGAATAACTTCTTAAAATTATAAAAAGGAATTGGTATTTACAAAATTTTAGCAATCTCTGTTTTGACAACAGGTAGATCCAAAAGCTTTCAGAGAGGCAGGTAGTTGTGGGAGAGTCACTTCTCTGGATTTAATATAGAAATATAAGAAAATTGTAAAGAAGGGTTAAATCACAGAACCATGGTAAATGAAATTTAGTGACGAATTATATATATATATATAATGTATATATATAATATATAAACATATATATATGTTTTCTAATTTAAATGCTCGTTGAAAGAGAGGAAAAAATTGCAAGAAGTTTAAAATTTGAACATTGGAAGGGACCTGGGAAATTGCTGCTTCATCCATTGAACCAACTTAAGAGTACAGTGTGTTCCAGTGCTAGGGTCTTGAGTGAGATCATCGAAGTTTAGCTGTGTCGTATTACCACCTGTGGGATCTTGGGTAGATTGTGTAACCTCTTTGAGACTGAATTTCCTTTATGAAATGAATATAATGCTGCCTTATTTAAATTTAACGGTTACTGTGAGGATAAATGATAATAAAGGACTGAAAGAATATGACTTATTTTTTGCAGTTAAGAACAGAGGGCTGGGGAAGTTTCATGACTTGTTTAGGATTATTATTTAGTTTATGACATAGCTGGGCCCAGAATCTAGGTTTTCAGATTCCTCGTGGCATGTTTTTTTCTGCTGTGCCAAAAAGAAGCTTATTTCAGAAGAGCAGAAAGTGCAAGTTGTAGGAACATTGGAGAATGTGGTAAGAAAAATTCCAGGTTATCTGTGTCTTTCTAAAGGAAGGCAGACATTTGCTACTTCCCAGATTCCCTTGGAAATGGTATGGAAGATGCTGAGGAATTCAGCATGATGATGGAATGAAGCATTTGCAATGCTGAGAAGGGAAAAATGGACCGAGATGGGAATTTTTAAACATGTTTTCAACAGCAGTTTCTTTATGTGAATAAACTGTACCTTGTTTATTGTGGTTCAAAACAGTTCTTTTAAGAAAACAACTGTATAAAATTGCATTTTAAAACTCTGGTAAATTAGTCATCAAAACTGTTTTCCTTTATCAAATAAAGGTCAGTACTTGAATTACTAAGACTGCTATTTCTGAGCCATCTTCCCTATTCAAATCTATACTGTGGTTAGGCTTCTGTAAATCTGGCTGTTATATGGTGTCACATGATCAAATAAAGTACTTCCCAAATCTTTTATTGGTCTCTCACTGCTCTTTATTGTATGGAGAGTGCTTGGGTAGTAGTGATGTCACAGAAAGCATGGAGTTTAGATTCAGAAAACCTGGGTGTAGATCTCAGCATTGCCATTAGCCATGTGATCTCAGAAGTGAAATGGGTAATAATTGAGAACATCTTAAAAGCAATGACTAGGGCGCCTGGGTGGCTCAGTTGGTTAAGTGACTGCCTTCGGCTCAGGTCATGATCCCCGAGTGCCGGGATCAAGGCCTGCACTAGGCTAGCTGTGCAGCGGGGAATCTGCTTCTCCCTCTGACCCTCTCCCCTCTCCTGTTCTCTCTCTCTCTCTCTCGAATAAATAAAATAGGAAGAGAAGTACTATAAACCATATTTTACAGGGGAAATTGAAGCACAAAGATCTAAACTTCAAAGATTACCTAGTTAAGTGTTGGAACCCGGATTTAAACCTTAATAGGTTATTTTCAAAACCCTGTGCTCCTAAATGCTCTACTGTGTTACCCCTCTGGGATTGTAAGAATTAAGTGATGGCGCTCAAGGTGCGGGACTCCTCAGTGCCCACTGTATATGAGAATCAGTGAACAACATGTCTGGGCCCTCTCTGCTGTGACAGACTGGTTTAATAAGATGCCTTTGTTGATGGGCTCTAGGTCAGGGATGTTTTTAAAAAATATTTAATGACTAGTGTGGCAGCATACTGTTCAGTGTGAGCTGACCATCTGTGCAGATTGAATAGCCACAGTGTCTGGACATAAGGTTATTGTGAAGAAAAGGAAGGAGCAGGAGATAGGGTGGCTTTGAAGGAGAGAAGCTTTCCAGAGCATGAAGAAGGGAAGAGGAAAGAATTCCTGGAGATGAAAAGATTTGGCATTAGAAAGGTTAGGAGAGGAGGAAGGTTAATTATTGGGTGGGCAGGAGGACTGAGGTCCAGAGAGCCTATAAAAGCTGCCCAAGTGGGTAGATGTGGCAAAGTTCTACGATAAACAGGGTTTCCCTATCATTTATTCCCAAACTGGGACACTTGAAAGTGAAAAGGGCATCAGTTGCATTAGGACAATAGGGGTGATAGCATAAACTGGAATGTCTTAGATAAACTAGGAGGTGTGGTCATCCTAACCACAAAAGGCACTAACCAGAGGTCTTGAAGGGCATCTCGCCATTAAACACTCAGCAATGGCCCCTCTCATGGACATCCCCTCCATATCTACTCCATGCCCTTAAACACCCATAATCCCAAGAAAAAGAGGGTGGGGCCCTGGACAATTAGTGGTGGTGTGATTAGGAAGCTTCTGTACCCATAACTGCAGGCATTGAACTGAAGCAGCTTTAAGCACCCTGAACTGGGGCCGTGCTCTAAGATAGTTTGTCGGGTGCAAGTTGAAAATCTGTAAGAAATGAGGCACATATAAAGGATTAAAGGAGCTTTATGCATCTTAAATAGCCATCACTCATTGCTTGATAGCTACTCTATCTTGCTTGTCCTGACAAAGACCAATCCATTAAACACTTTGCGAGAAGGAATATCTGTTTATCTGGATACTCCATTTCTTCTGCTTTAGGAGTAATAGGACTGAGTTACTTGTTAGGAGAAAGGATGAAATGTCAGAAGCACTTAGATCTAAATCCCTGTATAAAAACGAAAGCTTTACATTCAGAGCATGTGGGTCACTAATTCCGTGGTCTTTCTTTGCCATTGTCGGTGCTCCAACAGGAGAACTGTATCTCAGGAACACAGGTGAGTACAGTTGTAGAAGACTAGCTCACAGAGGAACAGAATCCTGAGCCAACAGGAGGTTCTGTAAGTTTTTACTGTGTTGGTGTAAAGTATATAGTAGGTAAATTGCTTCCTTTTTGCTTCCTGTGGGGAAAAGAGCAACAGATGGGTCTTATAAAGATGAATAATTTGGGAACAGGAATTTAGTCAAAATGGGATAAGCCAGGACTTGGGAGTTGAGTAGTAATGCCTGACATGAAAGGAAATAGATCACAGTGCACAGTCTTGATGAGCAGGAAAATTTCTCAGTTGTGCGAGAGAATATAACCTTTGGAAGAGTTCATCTAATTTTGAAAGAGGAAAACCATGACAGTGCTACCTGACTGACCATATAGTCTGCTATGGGTCCAAAGCGAGTAAGCTAATAAGAGGATGTAGGTGAAGTGAAGGATTGTTTACTGATAGCCAGACCTGGGAATAGAGGGGGCCACCGAGGAAAAAAAAAAGTTTTATGGATTTCTAAAATAAGCCTCAGGGCTTTCTCTTATTTCAGAAAGAAGTATTGATTAAATTTAATACATGTATGTTTGGTAGTAAAAATTCCGTTTAGAGATAATGATTTTGAGCAATTTTTCTATTTTAGTATAGTTTGAAACACCTATGTGAAATATAGCCAAATTTTTCTTTAAATGTCTTCCTGCATTTTGAGGTAAGCATAATACAAATCATGCAATAATTTAACTGAACTATGTAATGATTATTTTATTTTAGAATTATCTATAATTTCATTTTTCAATAATGATCATTACATAGTGGTGTATTTTTGTATAACATTTTCTTTTATTTTTTTTCAATAGGTGGTATTATGATTTCACATACAGGTGATGAGTATGTAAACAGATGCTGCTTTTTAATTACCCAAATAAAAAACAATACAAATGGGCTCCTATTTATTATTAAGATTAGCGTAGAGAAACCCTTGCATAGAACATTCAACTCTTGTTAACTCTATTCATTGTTCCTTAGGTTGTTACCCATTCATTATTCAGTCATTTCTGTATTAGCCTTCTTGCTGGTGCTGGTCTGCAGCTGATGCTATTGGTTCAGAGAAGGAGCTTAGAAATGGAAAAACCACTTAAAATTTGAAAGAAAAGTGAGGGGAAGGGAGGGAGGGAGATAGGGGAAGGAAAAGGGAGAGAGGCAGAGATAGATTATTTTTTGCTTTATAAATATCCCAGAAATACCACGACATCACTAAAGTAAAATGAGTACCTTTTCTCCTCTTGGGTTATTTTTTTTATTACATCCTTTCCCTTTATTGCTGGCCCTGGTACTTCAGGAGGACTGGCAAAAGGTAAGATAAAAGACTTTTTGAAGGTCTAGATTTAAGAGATTTTAAAGCCTCAAAACAACATCCTTAATGAGGCCTTTAAATATTTAGGTTGCCACGTTCTATTTTTTTAAGAGACCCACTTTTAGGTAGGTCAAATGTGTGACCCACTTCTGAATGTAGATATAAGATTAATAGCACGTGTTTGTTTGTTTGTTTTTTAAACATTCTCTGCTTGCTCAGGTAACTTATTAAGCAAAAAGAAGACACTT